GCACCGCGAGGAGGTAGGGGGTTGTTTTGGCCGGACTACACACACACACACACCCACACACACACACCTACACACCCACACACAACCTGCCTCTGCCTGCGCCCACAGAAGCACACACACACCTACACACACCTACACACACCTACACCTACACACACAACCACAACCTGCCTCTGCCTGTGCCCACAGAAGCACACACACACACCTACACACACACACACCTACACACCTACACACACACCTACACCCACACCTACACCTACACCTACACACACCTACACACACAACCACAACCTGCCTCTGCCTGTGCCCACAGAAGCACACACACACACCTACACACACACACCTACACACACACCTACACACACACACCTACACCTACACACACCTACACACCCACACACAACCTGCCTCTGCCTGTGCCCACAGAAGCACACACACACACACCTACACACACCTACACCTACACACCCACACACAACCTGCCTGTGCCCACAGAAGCACACACACACACACCTACACCTACACACACCTACACATACAACCACAACCTGCCTCTGCCTGTGCCCACAGAAGCACACACACACACACCTACACACACCTACACACACACCTACACACACACACACCTACACCTACACACACCTACACCCACACACACACACCTACACACACCTACACCTACACACACCTACACACACAACCACAACCTGCCTCTGCCTGTGCCCACAGAAGCACACACACACACACCTACACCTACACACACCTACACACACCTACACACACACACACACCTACACACACACACACCTACACACACACCTACACCCACACACACCTACACCTACACACACCTACACCCACACACAACCTGCCTCTGCCTGTGCCCACAGAAGCACACACACACCTACACCTACACACACACCTACACACCCACACACAACCTGCCTCTGCCTGTGCCCACAGAAGCACACACACACACACACACCTACACACACACACCTACACACACACACCTACACACACACCTACACACACACACACCTACACCTACACACACACACCTACACACACAACCACAACCTGCCTCTGCCTGTGCCCACAAGCACACACACACACCTACACACACACCTACACACACCTACACCCACACACACCTACACACCTACACACACACCTACACACCTACACACACACCTACACACCTACACACACACCTACACACACCTACACACACCTACACCTACACACACAACCACAACCTGCCTCTGCCTGTGCCCACAGAAGCACACACACACACACACCTACACACACACACACACACCTACACACACACACACCTACACACACCCCCACACACACACACACCTACACACACCTACACCTACACACACAACCACAACCTGCCTCTGCCTGTGCCCACAGAAGCACACACACACACCTACACACACACACACACCTACACACACCTACACCCACACACACCTACACCCACACACACCTACACGTACACACACCTACACACACACACACCTACACACACACCTACACCCACACACACCTACACCTACACACACCTACACCCACACACACCTACACGTACACACACCTACACACACAACCACAACCTGCCTCTGCCTGTGCCCACAGAAGCACACACACACACCTACACACACACACACCTACACCCACACACACCTACACACACCTACACCTACACACACAACCACAACCTGCCTCTGCCTGTGCCCACAGAAGCACACACACACACCTACACACACACACACCTACACACACCTACACCTACACACACCTACACCTACACACACAACCTGCCTCTGCCTGTGCCCACAGAAGCACACACACACACCTACACACACACACACCTACACACACCTACACGTACACACACCTACACACACAACCACAACCTGCCTCTGCCTGTGCCCACAGAAGCACACACACACACCTACACACACACACCTACACCTACCTACACCTACACACCCACACACAACCTGCCTCTGCCTGTGCCCACAGAAGCACACACACACCTACACCTACACACACACCTACACACACACACACCTACACACACCTACACCTACACACACACCTACACACCCACACACAACCTGCCTCTGCCTGTGCCCACAGAAGCACACACACACACACACCTACACACACACACACACACCTACACACACACACACCTACACACCCCCACACACACACACACCTACACACACCTACACCTACACACACAACCACAACCTGCCTCTGCCTGTGCCCACAGAAGCACACACACACACCTACACAACAACAACAACAACAACAACCGCCATTCGCCACTAAGTGGCGGTGACGTCACCACGACGCTTGTGCCAGGCTATGTGCACCCTGAGGCCACGTGAAGTGTCGAACGCCCGCTGGCAGGAGGTCACGGGGCAGACCCAGGTGCCACGGGTCGACTGACTGAGATGACTGGCTGATGCACCACCTGTGCCCCCTACTGTGCCAACCTGCTGTGCTTTAGCCACCCGGCGCTCCGCTCGCTGTTGTGAGCGTCGCTCCTCCGCCCTCCGTTGTTGTTGGAGGGCGACTGCCTCCAACTGCCCAGTAGCATCCTTCACGAGCCTCCTCCACAGAGGCCGATCTTGACACCGCTGGTACCAGTCATCGGCAAGTCCACTCAGCTCCACGTCCTCCTGTACCACATCACTCCATCTCTTCTCTAGCCCGTGCCGCGCCCGCTTAGCCCCCTCAATCCGGCCAAACAAAAGCTGTTTCGGCATGCGGTGGCTGGGCATGCGGGCTACATGACCCAGCCATCGCAGCCTTGCCTGCCGGAGGAGCTCACCGATGGGACCCTGCCCAGATCTTTCAAGGATTTGTGAGCTCCTCACACAATCCAGTCTGGTTAAACCCAGGATGGATCGTAGGCAGGTCAGCCTAAATGTTTCTAACCGGCGAAGATGTTCCATTAGGGGGGTCCACGTTTCGCAAGCGTAGAGAAGGGAGGGAATGACCGTGGCCGAGAAGACCTGAAGCTTAGTGCGGAGCGACAGACCAGGTAGCTTCCACACAGCGTTACGCAACCGATGAAAAGATATTGCCGCTCGACTGATTCGGAGTGAGACCTCTGCTGTTAAACTGGAGCCAGTCATAAGCACACTGCCCACACACACACACACACACCTACACACACCTACACCCACACACACCTACACCCACACACACACCTACACGTACACACACCTACACACACACACACCTACACACACACCTACACCCACACACACCTACACCTACACACACCTACACCCACACACACCTACACGTACACACACCTACACACACAACCACAACCTGCCTCTGCCTGTGCCCACAGAAGCACACACACACACCTACACACACACACACCTACACCCACACACACCTACACACACCTACACCTACACACACAACCACAACCTGCCTCTGCCTGTGCCCACAGAAGCACACACACACACCTACACACACACACACTTACACACACCTACACCTACACACACCTACACCTACACACACAACCTGCCTCTGCCTGTGCCCACAGAAGCACACACACACACCTACACACACACACACCTACACACACCTACACGTACACACACCTACACACACAACCACAACCTGCCTCTGCCTGTGCCCACAGAAGCACACACACACACCTACACACACACACCTACACCTACCTACACCTACACACCCACACACAACCTGCCTCTGCCTGTGCCCACAGAAGCACACACACACCTACACCTACACACACACCTACACACACACACACCTACACACACCTACACCTACACACACACCTACACACCCACACACAACCTGCCTCTGCCTGTGCCCACAGAAGCACACACACACACACACCTACACACACACACACACACCTACACACACACACACCTACACACCCCCACACACACACACACCTACACACACCTACACCTACACACACAACCACAACCTGCCTCTGCCTGTGCCCACAGAAGCACACACACACACCTACACACACACACACCTACACCCACACACACACCTACACGTACACACACCTACACACACACACACCTACACACACACCTACACCCACACACACCTACACCTACACACACCTACACCCACACACACCTACACGTACACACACCTACACACACAACCACAACCTGCCTCTGCCTGTGCCCACAGAAGCACACACACACACCTACACACACACACACCTACACCCACACACACCTACACACACCTACACCTACACACACAACCACAACCTGCCTCTGCCTGTGCCCACAGAAGCACACACACACACCTACACACACACACACTTACACACACCTACACCTACACACACCTACACCTACACACACAACCTGCCTCTGCCTGTGCCCACAGAAGCACACACACACACCTACACACACACACACCTACACACACCTACACGTACACACACCTACACACACAACCACAACCTGCCTCTGCCTGTGCCCACAGAAGCACACACACACACCTACACACACACCTACACCTACCTACACCTACACACCCACACACAACCAGCGTGTGCCCACAGAAGCACACACACACACCTACACCTACACACACCTACACACACAACCACAACCTGCCTCTGCCTGTGCCCACAGAAGCACACACACACACACCTACACCTACACACACACACCTACACACACACACCTACACACACAACCTGCCTCTGCCTGTGCCCACAGAAGCACACACACACCTACACACACACCTACACACACCTACACACACCTACACACACCTACACACACCTACACACACCTACACACCCACACACAACCTGCCTCTGCCTGTGCCCACAGAAGCACACACACACACCTACACACACCTACACCCACACACACACCTACACCTACACACACCTACACACACCTACACACCCACACACAACCTGCCTGTGCCCACAGAAGCACATGCTGCAGGAGGGCAAGGGCCGCATGCTGCAGGCCATCAGCCCCGGCAGCAGCCCGGCCCGCGAGCGCTCACCGTCGCCGCCAGCGCCGGCGTCACCGCCGCCGGCGCTCTCCCCCCCCTCCCCCCCCTCCCCCCCCTCCCCCTCCTCCCCCTCCCCCCCCTCCTCCTCCTCCTCCTCGTCCTCGGCGGCGGCGGTGGGGACTCCGGGGTTCCGATGGCCGTTCTCTCGGCACCCGGCGACGGCGTCGTCTCCCGGGGCGTCTCACCGCCCCGGCAGGCCCCGGGCTCCGTCACCGCGAGGCCCGGTGGCGGCGGCGGCGGCGGCGCGCCCCGCCGCAGCCACCGCCGCCGGGGAGCGGAGGGACGTGCGGCGCACGCAGAGGGAGAGGGGGGGCGCAGAGCGGGGGGGGCAGCAGCAGCAGCGGGAGGAGGAGGAGGAGGAGGAGGGGCGGCGGCGGCGGCGGGGGGGGCGGGAGAATGAGGAGGAGGATGAGGAGGAGGAGGAGGATTGAGAGGGAATAGACGGGGGGGGGGGGTGGAGGTGGTGGTGGCAGACTCGCATGCTGGGACACACGGTGGGACACGCTTGGACACACGGTGGGACACGCTGGGACACACGGTGGGACACGCTGAGACACACGGTGGGACACGCTGAGACACACGGTGGGACATGCTGGGACACAATGAGACACGCTGACACACACTGAGACACACACACTGAGACACACTGACTGACACACACTGACACACACACTGACACACACTGGCACACACACTGACACACACACACTGACACACACTGACACACTGACACTGACACACACTGACACACACTGACACACACACACTGACACACACTGACACACACACACTGAGACACACTGACACACACTGAGACACACACACTGAGACACACTGACACACACACACTGACACACACTGACACACACACTGACACACACTGACACACACACTGACACACACTGACACACACTCGCACCAGACGGACTGCTGTTGAGTATTTGCTTTAAATTGGCTGTCCGTCACCCTCCCCCCTCCCCCCCAGAGCCACCACCACCACCACCACCACACCTCTGATCGGCACGGCGTGCCACGTAGAACACGCACGCGGGCGACATGCATCCGACATGCATCCGACATGCATCCGACATGCATCCGACATGCATCCGACATGCATCCGACACACGTGCAGCGCCCGTGGGAGTCTCGGTGGGTGTGTGCGGTGGGGTGCGGGCTGAGGGGGGGGGTCTCGGTCGCTCTGGGGGTTGAAAATTCATCCTGTAGCGGTGGGGTGGTGGTGATCGCAGGGCCCTGTAAATTATCGTATACGGAGAATGATCGGTGGGGTTTGACGGCGGCGACGACGGCGGCGATCGTCTTGACGTCGAAGCTTTCGAGATCCGCGGGAGAAACCGCCGACCGCTGCTTTAGTTTCTTCAAGGGCGAAGCCCGCGTCGGCAGAAGCAAAACTGATCGCGGGTCGCGACGTTTCAAGTGGAACGTCTTCAGGAGAGAGTTAGAGAGAGAGTGGCGGTGGCGGTGGCGATGGCGGTGGGGTGGGTGCAGTCTGTTTATACCCACGGTAAAACCTTGCCTTGCGAAGCAACTTGGCCCGCGGGTGTTTTTTGTCGCGAGACGCGAGGTGAACGTTGGTTTGAGAAACGAGCGTGGGTCCTGGCAGTCCGAGCAGCGCTCGCGAGCCTCTCGTCCTGCCGAGCGTCACGTCGCCACACGGCTGATTATACGGGCGCCTTGATGTACGAGTGCTTTGACGTGCGAGTGTTTTTACGTACGAGTGCTTTGACGTGCGAGTGTTTTGATGTGCGAGTGTTTTGATGTGCGAGTGTTTTGATGTGCGAGCGTTTTGATGTGCGAGTGCTTTGATGTGCTTTGACGTACGAGCGTTTTGACGTACGAGTGCTTTGATGTGCGAGCACCTTGACGTGCGAGTGCTTTGATGTGCGAGTGCTTTGATGTACGAGTGCTTTGATATACGAGTGCTTTGACGTACGAGTGCTTTGACGTGCGAGTGCTTTGACGTACGAGCGCCTTGACGTACGAGCGCCTTGACGTACAAGCGTTTTGACGTACGAGTGCTTTGACGTGCGAGTGTTTTGATGTGCGAGTGTTTTGATGTGCGAGTGTTTTGATGTGCGAGTGTTTTGATGTGCCAGTGTTTTGATGTACCAGTGCTTTGATATACGAGTGCTTTGATATACGAGCGCTTTGATATACGAGCGCTTTGATGTGCGAGCGTTTTGATGTGCGAGTGCTTTGATGTGCCAGTGTTTTGATATACGAGTGCTTTGACGTACGAGTGCTTTGATGTGCGAGTGCTTTGATGTGCGAGTGTTTTGATGTACGAGTGTTTTGATGTGCGAGTGCTTTGATGTGCGAGTGTTTTGACGTACGAGTGCTTTGACGTACGAGTGCTTTGACGTGCGAGTGCTTTGACGTGCGAGCGCCTTGACGTACGAGCGCCTTGACGTACGAGCGTTTTGACGTACGAGTGCTTTGACGTGCGAGTGTTTTGATGTGCGAGTGTTTTGATATACGAGTGCTTTGATGTGCGAGTGTTTTGATGTACGAGTGCTTTGATATACGAGTGCTTTGATATACGAGCGCTTTGATGTGCGAGTGCTTTGATATACGAGCGCTTTGATATACGAGAGCTTTGATGTGCGAGTGCTTTGACGTGCGAGCGCCTTGACGTGCGAGTGCTTTGATGTGCGAGTGCTTTGACGTGCGAGTGTTTTGATGTACGAGTGCTTTGATATACGAGTGCTTTGATATACGAGCGCTTTGATGTGCGAGTGCTTTGATATACGAGCGCTTTGATATACGAGAGCTTTGATGTGCGAGTGCTTTGACGTGCGAGCGCCTTGACGTGCGAGTGCTTTGATGTGCGAGTGCTTTGATGTGCGAGTGTTTTGATGTGCGAGCGTTTTGATGTACGAGTGCTTTGATGTGCTTTGATGTACGAGCGTTTTGACGTACGAGTGCTTTGACGTGCGAGTGTTTTGATGTGCGAGTGTTTTGATATACGAGTGCTTTGATGTGCGAGTGTTTTGATGTACGAGTGCTTTGATATACGAGTGCTTTGATATACGAGTGCTTTGATATACGAGCGCTTTGATGTGCGAGTGCTTTGATATACGAGCGCTTTGATATACGAGAGCTTTGATGTGCGAGTGCTTTGACGTGCGAGCGCCTTGACGTGCGAGTGCTTTGATGTGCGAGTGTTTTGATGTGCGAGCGTTTTGATGTACGAGTGCTTTGATGTGCTTTGATGTACGAGCGTTTTGACGTACGAGTGCTTTGATGTGCGAGTTTTTGATGTGCGAGTGTTTTGATGTACGAGTGCTTTGATATACGAGTGCTTTGATGTGCGAGTGTTTTGATGTGCGAGTGTTTTGATGTGCGAGTGTTTTGATGTGCGAGTGTTTTGATGTGCGAGTGTTTTGATGTGCCAGTGTTTTGATGTACGAATGCTTTGATATACGAGTGCTTTGATATACGAGCGCTTTGATATACGAGCGCTTTGATGTGCGAGCGTTTTGATGTGCGAGTGCTTTGATGTGCCAGTGTTTTGATATACGAGTGCTTTGACGTACGAGTGCTTTGATGTGCGAGTGCTTTGATGTGCGAGTGTTTTGATGTACGAGTGTTTTGATGTGCGAGTGCTTTGATGTGCGAGTGTTTTGACGTACGAGTGCTTTGACGTACGAGTGCTTTGACGTGCGAGTGCTTTGATGTGCGAGTGCTTTGATGTGCGAGTGTTTTGATGTACGAGTGTTTTGATGTACGAGTGCTTTGATGTACGAGTGTTTTGATGTACGAGTGCTTTGACGTACGAGTGCTTTGACGTGCGAGTGCTTTGATGTGCGAGTGCTTTGATGTACGAGTGCTTTGAAGTGCGAGTGTTTTGATGTACGAGTGCTTTGATATACGAGTGCTTTGACGTATGAGTGCTTTGATATACGAGTGCTATGACGTACGAGCGTTTTGATGTACGAGTGTTTTGATGTACGAGCGCTTTGATATACGAGTGCTTTGATGTGCGAGTGCTTTGACGTACGAGTGCTTTGATATACGAGTGCTTTGACGTACGAGTGCTTTGACGTACGAGCGCTTTGACGTACGAGCGTTTTGACGTACGGTGCTTTGACGTACAAGCGCTTTGATATACGAGTGCTTTGACGTACGAGCGCTTTGACGTACGAGCGCTTTGACGTACGGTGCTTTGACGTACAAGCGCTTTGATGTACGAGTGCTTTGACGTACGAGTGCTTTGACGTACGAGCGCTTTGACGTACGAGCGCTTTGACGTACGAGCGCTTTGACGTACGAGCGCTTTGACGTACGAGCGCTTTGACGTACGAGCACTTTGACGTACGAGCGCTTTGACGTGCGAGTGTTTTGACGTACGAGTGCTTTGACGTACGAGTGCTTTGATGTACGATTGCTATGACGTACGAGCGCTTTGACGTACGAGTGTTTTGATGTACGAGTGTTTTGACGTACGAGCGCTTTGATGTACGAGTGCTTTGATGTACGAGTGCTATGACGTGCGAGCGCTTTGACGTGCGAGTGTTTTGACGTACGAGTGCTTTGACGTACGAGTGCTTTGACGTACGATTGCTATGACGTACGAGCGCTTTGACGTACGGTGCTTTGATGTACGAGTGCTTTGATGTACGAGTGCTATGACGTACGAGTGCTATGACGTACGAGCGCTTTGACGTATGAGCGTTTTGACGTACGGTGCTTTGACGTACAAGCGCTTTGACGTACGAGCGCTTTGACGTACGAGCGCTTTGACGTACAAGCGCTTTGACGTACGAGCGCTTTGACGTACGCGCGCTTTGACGTACGAGCGCTTTGACGTGCGAGCGCTTTGACGTCCGAGCGCTTTGACGTACGAGTGTTTTGATATACGAGTGTTTTGACGTACGAGCGCTTTGACGTACGAGCGCTTTGACGTACGAGCGCTTTGACGTACGAGCGCTTTGACGTACGAGCGCTTTGACGTACGAGCGCTTTGACGTACGAGTGTTTTGATATACGAGTGTTTTGACGTACGAGCGCTTTGACGTACGAGCGCTTT